AAACCAAACCCTAACAGGTTGCTCTAGTAAGAGCTCCCAGGCAGGGGCTCGGGCGGAGACATGTAGAGTTCAGGGGCTTAGTGGTTGGATGTTTTCTTTGAACCTTAAACCCTAAACCCTAACCCTAAACCCTAAACCCTGAGCCCTAAGCCCTAAGCCCTCAGCCCTAAGCCCTAAGCCCTGAAGGTTTTAGGGGCCGTCTTTGAGGGTTTTGCGCACCTGCGTCCCCAGTTGGCAGCCGACGTGAAACACGCCAGTGCCCAGGCAGTAGTACGTCTTGCCTGCCTTCAGGGTTTTAGGGTTTTAGGGTTTTAGGGTTTTAGGGTTTAGGGTTTTGGGGTTTTAGGGTTTAGGGTTTAGGGTTTCAGGTTTAGAGTTTAGGGGCTTTGGGACTTTAGGGCTTTCGGGCCTTAGGGTTCAGGACTTTTAGGGATTATGTCCTGCCTTCTCCTGGTCATCCGCGCTGAACATCTTCAGGCCTGGGCTACGGTTTAGGGTTTAGGGTTTAGGGTTTAGGGTTTAGGGTTTAGGGTTTAGGGTTTAGGGTTTAGGGTTTAGGGTCTAGGGTCTAGGGTCTAGGGTCTAGGGTCTAGGGCCTAGGGTCTAGGTGCAGATGCACACAGGCCTCCAGCCCGGGCATCTCACTTCGGTTTGAGAATACAGCTTTGCTTCAACCGGTTCGAACTCGCGCGAACCCACAGTCGGTACATTTTGTCCCCATGTTTTGGTTCCAGTCCTAAACTTAAACCGAGAAAACCCCATACCCCGTACCCCCAAGTCTAGCCACAACAAACCCCAAAAACCTCTTGAAGCCCTAAACCTAAACCCTAAACCCTAAACCCTAAACCCTAAACCCTAAACCCTAAACCCTAAACCCTAAACCCTAAACCCCAAACCCTAAACCCTAAACCCTAAAGCCTGAAGCCCTTTTGCCCTAGGCTTGGCTGTCGCAGCACATGAACTTGTAAATGCCTATAGAGGCCCGTAGCCTCGGGCATCGCACTTGAAATCCTTGAAAGACAGCTGCTGAAGAAAACTCCTCTCAATAGCGCTTCTCGTGGGGCCACCTGCCGGACCTATCGCGATCCTGCCAGGTATCGCCCCAAGACTCGTTCTTGGAGTTGTAGCCATATGCCTTGTCCTTACTTCTCCAATAACCAAGGGGAAAGCAATGTCAAGCTTTAATATTCCTAATTACTAAATAAGGAACCCCAAAAAGTTTAAAGTGCAACTAAAGGCGAGGTGAGTGTCTGAGGGCTTCTCCCAAGAATCGCCCCACGACCCCCAAGACTCGTCCCGGGAGTCGTGGCCGTAGGCCTTGTCCGAACGCTTGTCCCAAGCCCTCCCCTGGCTCTTCCACTCCTTGTCTTGCTCGATATCGGGCCCTCTATTCCACTGGCCCCACGTCTGAGATTGCCCTGAAGCCGGGTACTTCCAGCTCTTGCTTCCTTCCTGCGAAGCTCGGGACGTTTGGGGGGAACGCCAGGAGGACCACGCATCCAGTGGGGGTGCCAGTGGGATGCAGAAGGTGCCAGAGTGGCCCAGATTGAACACCCAGCCACGGCCGTCCGCCAAATGGAGGAACTTCCCGTTCTCGCCCCCGCCGTTGTACTGATGGAAGGCACGCTCCTCATCAACCTGGAAGGTCTCATCCTGCCCCAGGACCCCGACGATGCTCTTCCTGGCCGTGTACGGCCCCTGACGGATATCCATGCCCCCGCGCCAAACGCATTTCCACAATGCGTGTTCCTGACTGTTGCTTCTAGCCCTGTGAACTTGATCTTGCAAATGAGTTCCTCTATGGCTTAGGAAGAAAGAAGGAAATTGTTCAAAGCTAAACCCGAAACCCAAAAACCAAAAACTAAAACCCCTTAACCCTGAACCCTTCTCCAAGACCCAAAAACCCTAAACCCTAAACTCCAAACCCCAAACCCGAAACCCTAAACCCCGAACCCTAAACCCTAAACCCCAAACCCCGAACCCCTAAACGCACAGCCCAGGCTCCGTCTGCGCCGCGCTGGCGCGGCCGGTGCGGTCAGCGCCGTCGGTGTCGTCTGCGATGACCGGCTCCGGGGCCAGGAGCGGGGGATCGACGCAAGTTGCCATGAGCTCCTATTGGGCTAAGCCCTAAAACCTTATAAGCCCTAGGGTTTAGGGTTTAGGGTTTAGGGTTTAGGGTTTAGGGTTTTGGGTTTTGGGTTTTGGGTTTAGGGTTTAGAGGTTAGGGTTTAGGGTTTGGGTAACCCTAAACCCTAAACCCTAAACCCTAAACCCTAAACCCTCCACCCCCCCTTAATTGAGGAAGAGTGCCTGAACATTTGTCGGGGTCCTTGAGGATATGGTTTAAGGCATAACCCTTATTCAAGGGATTCGTGGGCTCTTTGGCGACGTCTCTCGGCGCGTCCTCGGCGCAACTACCTGCATCCTTCTGTGCGATCCGGGCCAGGATGCCCCTGACCACGGCCTTCGCCACGCAATCTTCTCCATTCCTAGTTCATGGTTGGGATCGTATTAAAAATATGCCTTATTGGGTTTAAGTACCCATAAAAATATGAAATGTTAAACAAACCATATTCCTTATTGGGCTTAAGTACCCTTAAAAATGCAACATGTTAACCAACTATGACCAAGATTCGTGATCTCCTCGGCCTGTTCCTTGGAAGCCTCATCATGCCACTGCGACAAAGGCTTCACCACGTTGATCTCACTTGGAACCTAGTTCATGGTTGGGATCGTATTGAAAATCTAAATTCCCATTCCTTATTGAGCTTGAAGTACCCTTAACTTAAAAATGCAAGTCTCCGGAAGAAAAAACACCCCGCCATGACAAAGGAACCGCCTAAACCCTAAACCCTAGAGTAGAGTTTAAACCCTAAACCCTAAATCCTATACCCTAAACCCTAAACCCTAAACCTTTAACCCTAAGCGGCCGCCTCCACCACGTCCAGGGGCCCAAAAGCCTGCTGCTTCAGCTCCTCCATCTCGGTGCGGAGCACTTCCAGCTGCAGCGCCTGCCGTGTGATGGGGTTTAGGGTGTAGGGGTTAGGGTTTTGGGTTTAGGTTTGGGGTTTAGGGTTTAGGGTTCAGGGTTCAGGGTTCAGGGTTTAGGGTTTAGGGTTTAGGGTTTAGGGCTTAGGGTTTAGGGTTTACTTCCAGCTGCATTGCCTGCCGTGTGATGGTCTCTTGCCTTGGCTGACTTCTGAACCCCTCCTCAAAGTTTAACCCTTAGGCTCCTTATTGTAGTTTCGACAAAAACCCAAAAAAAACTCAAGTCCCAAGAGCCAGCCAGCCAAGATGCATTCGCTTGATCTCGGAGTCCGCATCCTTCGTCTGCTCGAGAACGCCCACGACGCAGTCGCGCAGCTCGTCGAAGAGCTTGATCACGTGCTGCGCAGACATGGCGCACATCTCGCAGGAAGTCACCGGAACCTGCCTAGCAATTAGGGGGCCTTCAGTCCGCCGTCTGGCCACTGACGTGTGCAGAGGCTGCAGTCTGGTGCTTCCCGCTTCATGACCTTGCTTGTCTAAGACGTCTCCACATTGGCTAGGAGCCGCGGCGAGCAATGATCAACGTACACTTTGCACAGATGCTCTTGAAAAGCTCCGCTGGCATGCTTCACCCCTGGATACACTTGAATTGCCGGTCTTTGCCTCAGAACCCGCGCGCCCTCTCAAACCCGAAACACATAACCGATCTCCTGCTAAGTTGATTCCCAAGTACTGCTGGTCACATCGTAAATGTTGATGTGCACCTCGTTCTTGGCGATCACCTGGACTCAACCCTACATCCCCCCAAATCTGCCAAACCCTAAAACAGCTCACTCCCAAAACGTCTGCTACTGCGTGCACCATGAAATGCGCTACCTAGATCTCCCATCCACACTAGCCCCTGAAATCCTCGAGGGTTAGGGGTGTGGGTTTCGGTCTTTGGGTTTGCTAGGACACCCTAAACCCTAAACCCTAAACCCCAAACCTGCTAGGATTTGGGACAGGTCGGGCCAAGGGCTTCTACAACCCTAAAACCCCAAACCCTCAAAAACCTAAACCCTGGACTTAGGTTATAGGGTTCTTAAGGGAGGGGGCTTCAAGGGGGGTAGGTACCTAAGGAACCTGAGGGAAGCCTAGGGAGCCTTAGGGAGCTGAGGGGAGTATTATAATTAGGGTGGGTTCGACCTGAATCACCCGCATAGGGGCGACTTCGCCAGGTTTGGGTTTAGGGTTTAGGGCTTAGGGCTTGGACCCAACAAAAACCCTCACCCTGAAGCCTAAACCACCCCCAGCACCCTAAACCCTAAACCCTAAACCCGAAACCCTAAATCCTAAACCCTAAACCCTAAACCCTAAACCCTAAACCCTAAACCCTAAACCCTAAACCCTAAACCCTAAACCCAAACATCCCAACACCCAAACGTCTTCAAATCCCTCGCGGCAGGCCCTGAGCCGCAGCGCTTCAGCCTTCAAAAATCCTACACCCGAAGCCCCAAACATCCTAGCTACGAACCCGAATCCCTAAGCCCTAAGCCCTAAACCCTAAACCCTAAACCCTAAACCCTAACTAAGCCCTACACCCTGAACTCCCAAACCCTAAACCCAAGCCCGAGCCTAAGAGAAGCAACCTCAACGTTCCCCCCAGGCGCCTTCTCCTGCGCACAACAATTCCTGGGACGGTTCGGGTGCGGCTCTGCTGCAAAAGAAGCCCCTGATCCCTAAACCCTAAAGCCAAAAAGCAAACCCCAAATCAAAAAAACAAGCCCTAAACCCGGTAAGAGTGTTTTTTTTGTTGCGGGTGCTTTTTTGCTGACCCACAGCAAAAAAGCACCCACAACAAAAAAAAACACGGGTTCCCCCTAAACCCGAAACCCTGAACTCAACCCCTAAACTAACTTTAAACCCTAAACCCTAACTCCTAACCCTAGGCCCCGAACAAAAACTCATAATCTCAACCCTAAACCCCTAAACCCAAAACCCTAAACCCTAAATCCTAAACCCTAAACCCTAAACCCTGAACCCTGAACCCTGAACCCTAAACCCTACCCCCAAGTTGAAACATGGCATCCGAGGGTCTGGACATGGAGCTACTAGGCTTCAGTGCTTTCAGGGCTTGCAGGGCTTGTGGGGTTTAGGGTTTAGGGTTTAGGGTTTAGGGTTTGGGGTTTAGGGTTTAGGGTTTATGGTTTAGGGTCTAGGGTTTAGGGTTTAGGGCTTTAGGGCTTTAGGGCTTTAGGGGGTTTAGGGGTTTCGGGCTTAGGGCTTAGGGCTTCAGCTTAGGGTAGGATGTGGGGGCTGGTCGGGCATAAGGTTGCTCTGCTGCAAAGGCGCCCCATCCGGGCAAGATGTCCCAGTCGCAAGGAAGATCGGGGGGACGCGCTGAAAGGCTGAGAGGGCCCAGGTGGCCAGCGGCAGGCAAAACAGGGTTTAGAGTTTAGGGTTTGGGGTTTTAGGGTTTAGGGCTTGGGGTTTAGGTTTGGGGTGTAGGGTTTAGGGTTTAGGGCTTTGGTTTTCTGATTTAGTAGGGTTTGGGGTTGTGGGGGGTTGGGGAAAAGGAAGGTTTGGTATCCAGGGTCAAGGGTCTCACGTTTAGGGTGCAGGCGTAATTAGGTTGGGACGTAGGTCAGCATCTCATTCCGTGTGCCCCGGGATGAGCCTCAGGCAAAGCCTGCCACCCTAAACCCTCAACCCTCAACCCTCAACCCTCAACACTAAACCCTGAACCCTGGACCCTAAACCCTAAACCCAAGCATCCCAAACCCTAAACCTAAACCCTAAACGCTAACCCTACCAGGCCAGGCTCGGCACGCACAGCAGCATGCAACCTCACAGTCACGCCAAGGGTCTGGAACCTTAAAACTTAGGGTCTAGGGTTTAGGGTTTAGGGTTTTGGGTTTAGGGTTTAGGGTTTAGAGCTTTGGGCTTAGGGCTTAGGGCTTAGGGGTCTAAACCCTGAAGCCTATAAACCCTAAACCTCATGGACCCTATCATCCCTAAACCCCCTAAACTCTAGAAACTCTACAATCCATAGACCCTTTCAACCCGAAAGCCAGTAAACCGCGGCATAACCCTGTAAACCCTGCAAGCCCTGAACCCTATAGACACTTTAAGCCCTAAAGCCCGTAAACCCCGTAAAGCCTGTAAACCCTCCAAACACTTTAAGCCCTGAACCCCGCACACCCCGTAAACCCCGTAAACCCCTTAAAGCCTGTATGAGCCCTGAACCCCGCAACCCCGGTAAACCCTGCAAACCGTGAACCCTGTAAACACAAAAAGCCCTGAATCCTAATCCCCCCCCAACTAAGCCCTGAACGAAAGTCGGGACGCGCGAAACTAGACCCAGGAGTAGCCTAGGAATAAAGAGGGTGCCTTCTTGGTTTTAAAGGGATTAAACCCCAACCCCAAAAAAATAAAATAAGGCCCTACTCCGGGTTCTAGCCCTAAACCCTAAACCCTAAACCCTAAACCCCTAAGGTTTGTAGGGTCCTAGGAAAGGAAGAAGCCGCCTGCAGAGATGAGCGCACCAACTGTCGCGAACGTCGACGCCTGCAGAGCACGGCGAGTCGGCAGAATCGGGTTTAGGGTTTGGGGTTTGGGGTTTAGGAGTTTGGAGTTTAGGGTTTAGGGTTTAGGGTTTAGGGTTTAGGGTTTAGGGTTTAGGGTTTAGGGTTTAGGGTTTAGGGTTTAGGGTTTGGGTCCGCCGACCCTGGCGGCGTGTTTGGGGTTCGCCCGTCCCTTGAGTGAGCCAGTACTGCTCCTGGTACGCCATCACCTGCTGTGAACAGGGGCGACAAGGCTTGACCGGAGAGGCTCTTCTTGCTGTCGGGCGTGCCCAAAACCCTAAACTCTAAACCCTAAACCCTAAACCCTAAACCGTGTGTACACCGCCAGGAGCCGGGCCTTTTGTTTCGCATAGAGCTCCAAGGGTTCTGCTGCCTCTCCTGGAACCTTTCTGGGACCCTCTGGACCCCGCTGGCCCCTTTTTTGGGACCTTTCTGGGACGCCCCTGGAACCTCTTCTGAGACCTTCCTGAAACTGTCTGGCCCCGGTAACCCTAAACCCTAAACCCTAAACTCTAAACCCTGTTTAGGGTTCAACTGGGGGCCTTGATGCCAGGGCCTAACATGGACGGCTCTGGCGTGAACCTCAACTCAACAATCCCTAGCCCCGAACTCGACCCCTAAACTGTAACCCGCAAAACTTCTCTAAACCCTCTAAACCCTCTGAACCCTCTGAGCCCTCTAAACCCTCTAAAAGCACAACTCTCTAAACCCTCTAAACCCTCAACCCTAAACCCTCTAAACCCTAAACCCTTTGAGAGCCGGCCTCCTGGCGAAGCTCCTGGGGCTCGCTGCCCCTGGGCGCCGCCAGAGGTCTATGGGATTTGGGGTTTGGGGTTTGGGGTTCAAGGTTTAAGGTTTGGGTTTAGGGCCCAGAGTTGAGAGTTCAGGGTTTAGGGTTTAGGGTTTAGGGTTTAGGGTTTAGGGTTTAGGGTTTAGGGTTTAGGGTTTAGGGTTTAGGGTTTAGGGTGTGGGGTTTAGGGTTTCGGGTTTAGGGTTTAGGGTTTAGGGTTTAGGGTTTAGGGTTTAGGGTTTAGGGTTGTACCTTGGACCCTTAAGGTTGTGCCCTTGGGTTTTGGGGACCCTTTGCAAAGATCCGTAAGGTAGCATAGGGGCCATATCAGGAGTCTGTGAGGGCAAACCTTTAGGGTGCGACCTTGGGGGTACCAGTCTTAATCCCTTGATCTGTGGGGTTTAGGGTTCAGGGTTTAGGGCTCAACCCTAAACCCTAAACCCTGAACCCTTTTTAAGGTTGATAGGGGTTCAGGAGTTTAGGCGAAGGGGCGGCTTTTGGTTTAGGGGTATGGGGTTTGGGTTTACGGGCCTAGGGCGTAGGGTTTAGGGTTTCGGGTTTAGGGCTTAGGGTTTAGGGTTTAGGGTCTAGGGTTTAGGGTTTAGGGTTCAAGGTTTAGGGTTTAGGGTGTAGGGTCGTCTAGGGTCTAGGGTGTAGAGGTTTGTTGAAGGATTACGTAGGGCTCGAAGGAACATAAGTCAGGTTGCAACGTGAGCGACTTGACTTGAGGCGCCGGTACCAAGGAACCTTGAACTGAAGCCCTAAACCCTAAACCCCCTAAACCCCCTAAACTCCTAAACCCCCTAAAACCCCCTAAAAACCCCTAAACCCCCCCCCACACCCCCTGAACCCCCCAAACCCCCAATAAACTTAAATCTTCTTCTGCAGGTCGTCAGGTGCCCTGCAACAAAGGCTGCTGACCTTTGACCCCAATTCTCCTAGGGTTTAGGGTTTAGGGTTTAGGGTTTAGGGTTTAGGGTTTAGGGTTTAGGGTTTAGGGTTTAGGGTTTAGGGTTTAGGGTTTAGGGTTTTGGGTTTAGGGTTTAGGGTTTAGGGTTTAGGGTTTAGGGTTTAGGGTTTAGCGTTAAGGGTTTAGGGTTTAGGGTTTCGGGTTTCGGGTTTTGCGTTTCTGGTTTAACTCAGGGCTCCTACTTGGAAGCCCTTTGGACTTAGTAAGTAGCTTATTAAGGTGGGTTATGAGACTAGAGGGGTGTCTAGTAGATACTAAGTAGACTTACTAAGTCAAAAGGGCTGCCAAGTAGTAAAAGCCAGATGGTAATTCACTGGTGCTTTGAAAGAGGGGGGAGGGTCTGGTACGGGCTACATACCACCCGAGACCTGGAAACCCTACCCCCCAAGCCCCGATGAGTCACTCCTCAACCGTAAACCCTAAACCCTAAACCCTAAACCCTAATCCCGAAACCCTAAAACACTGACCCTCCAGTAAGCAAAGGCCCCCACTCTTGCGTGTGTTCGCAGCCCAACCTAGCACCAGAACGCGAGGGATCCCCAGGTTTAGGGTTTAGGGTTTAGGGTTTAGGGTTTAGGGTTTAGGGTTTAGGGTTTAGGGCTTAGGTTTTAGGGTTTAGGGTTTAGGGTTTAGGGTTTAGGGTTTATTGTTCAGGGTTGACGGGCTGAGGGTTTGGGGTTTGGGGTTTAGGGTGAGGGGGGGGGGAGGGTATTGTCTTAGGGCAGCGTTTAGGTTTAGGGTTCGGGGTAAAGGGTTGTTTTGGAAAGAAATAGGGTTCGGAACCCTAAACCCTCAAGCAGGTTGCGGGCAGCCTCGTCACACTAAACGCGGCTAGGGCTTATAGGGCTTAGGGTTTAGGGGTTAGGGTTTAGGGTTTAGGGTTCAAGGTTTAGGATTAGGGTTTAGGGTTAAGGGTTCAAGGCTGCGGGTCTAGAGAACCTAAACCCCGAACCCTTACCCCTAAGAACAACGACCAACACACAGTTAGTAGTTTTGGGGGTGAGCTCCATGAATCATGTGGCTCTTAGAGTTTGAGGAAACGCAATAAGGGCTGCGGGTTTAGGGTTTTAGGGTGTAGGGCTTAGGGTGCTGGAGTCTCCCCCGACCCAAAACCCTAAACCCAAAACCCTACTAACCCCTAACCCCAAAACCCTACTAAACCCTATTAAACCGTACTAAACCCTATTACACCCTATGAAGCCTATTAAACCCTATTAAGCCCTATTGACCCCAATGAAACCCTAAACCCTAAACACCCTGGCGAGAAAATGCCGGGGCACACTTTGGCTGCCACCCGCCAGTGTCTTCTCGCAGCGCCGGCCGTCGCATCCCCATGCCACCTACACACGGCACGCGCCCCCAGATGGTTGAGGCTTGACGGAACCCTGAACCCTAAACCTTCAACCCTAAACCCTAAACCTAAACCCTAAATCCTAAACCCTAAACCCTAAACCCTAAACCCTAAACCCTAAACCCCCTTTGCACCTCGACCCTCAAGGTTTAGGGTTTAGGGGTAGGGGTTTCGGTCCCAGAGCAACCTCGGAGTCAACCGGGGTGCCCTCTAAAACAGCAAAAGGGGTTTAGGGTTTAGGGTTTAGGGTTTAGGGTTTCGGGTTTGCTTAGGGCTTAGGGGCTTAGGGCTTAGGGCTTAGGGCTTAGGGCTTAGGGCTTAGGGCTTAGGGCTTAGGGCTTAGGGCTTAGGGCTTAGGGCTTAGGGGCTTAGGGCTTAGGGTTTAGGGGCTTGGGGCTTAGGGCTTCGGGCTAGGGCCAAAGGGGACCCTGAACCCCCTAAGAGAAGGGGTGGACAGCACCGAGCCTCAACATCAGGTTGGTGGCGGTCCAGAGACCACCTGAGCTACAGATTGAAGGGTTTTAGGGGTTAGGGTTTAGGGTTTAGGGTTTAGGGTTTAGGGTTTAGGGTTTAGGGTTTAGGGTTTAGGGTTTAGGGTTTAGGGTTTAGGGTTTAGGGGTTTAGGGTTAGTTTAGGGTTTAGGGTTTCGGGTTCGGACAGGAAATCGAAACACGAGGGTTCAAGGTTTGTCGCCCCGCCCATCACCCCCCACCCCCCTCCCCCCCTTCTGAACCCCTGAACCTCTAAATCCTAAAGCCTAAACCCCTAAACCCCCAAATTACCCCCACCCCAACCCCCAACCCCTCAGCCCGCAACCCTAAAACCCCCGAAGCCCCTAAACCCCTAACCCCACAATCTTAGAGATCGTCACCAAACGGAGTCCCTAACCCTAAACTCTGCACCCCGTACCTGTACCCTAAACCCTGTACCCAGTACCCTGAACCCTAAACCCTAAACCCTACACCCAAACCCCAACCCCTAAACCCTAAACCCTAAACCCTAAACCCCAATCCCTAAACCCTAAACCCCAAACCCCAAAGCCTTAAACCCTAAACCCCCAACGCAGCCGCAGGGCTGCGCAGCCGATGGAAGCCTTCGTCACTTCCGTGGCTGCCTTCGCCACTTGGCTTCCGGGGGGGGGGGGGGGGGTGGAGGGTTTAGGGTTTAGGGTTTAGGGTTTAGGGTTTAGGGTTTAGGGTTTAGGGTTTAGGGTTTAGGGTTTAGGGTTTCGGGTTTAGGGTTTAGGGTTTGGGGTTTGGGGTTTAGGGCTTAGGGTTTAGGGTTTAGGGTTTAGGGCTTAGGGCTTAGGGCTTAGGGTTTAGGGCAACTCCGAGACACCTTCAACTCTTCGGGGCCTTGTAAGAGATTCAATATGAGTCTAGGGTTTAGGGTAGTAGGGTTTAAGGTTTAGGGTTTTTTGTGTTTGGTTCTAGGGTTTTGGGTTTAGGTTTTCGGGTGTGGGGCTTGGGTTTTGGGTTTAGGGGTTAGGGGTTTGGGGTTTAGGGCTTCGAAGATTCTAGTTTAGAGCTGTGAGTGTTTGGCATCGGAGGATCGTTCTTTAGCACATGGCGGACAAGATCTCCGAACACAATGCCTGCACCACAAGCCCCAACCAACTGCTGACAGCGATGAAACCGTAAACCCAGAACCCTCACCCTGAACCCTAAATCCTAGACCCCTCATCCGCAAGACCCTATAAACCCTAAACCCTTGATGGAGCCACAAAACCCTGAACCCTAAACCCTAAAAAGTGCAACCGCCAGGGCGCCTGTGTAGGTGTGCCAGTGCCTCATATCACTGCCCTCGGGGTCGTTGCTGTACCTTCGGGTTGAGGGATTGAGGGATGTAGGGGTTTAGGGTTGAGGGATCTAGGGGTTTAGGGGTTTAGGGTTTAGGGTGGGGTCTAGGGTTTAGGGTTTAGAGCGCAAATACTGAGCTCAAGCAACGCACAAGACGGTGGATGCCGCAGGCTCGGGCTTTGGCTTTGCTGGGACATACACAACTACGTAGGCATTCCACCTTGAGTCCTATATCCTTCGCCCATAAAACCCTAAACGCTCCCGGAGCCCTAAACCCTAAACCCTAAACCCCAAACCCTAAACCCTGAACCCTAAACCCTAAACCCCCGAACCCTGGATCTTTGCATGTGCACGAGTTCGGCACCATGCCTGGAAAGTGCTCCAGGGCAGGCCCGCAAAGCTTCGAGGGCGGGTTGGAGGTAGCGGCCAGAAAGGTCGCACCGCGGGGAGGCCCTTTGAAAGCTTTTCTAAGGCTCGGCAAGGTTTCTGGCTTGCCAGGCGTTAACCAAGTCCCGCTCTTTCCATGCCGGCGCTTGGGCAGTTGGGTCCTCGGCCAAGCATTCGGGGCCTGCCGCTCGACGGATCCTCACTAAATTTATAGGGTGTCAGGAGGGATTGGGGTTTAGTGTCGAAGGACTTGAGGGCATTAATTGGGTTGAGGGCTCTGACTCAGGGTTGCAGATTCGGGGTCGGAGGTTCACGCTGACACCCCTTGAAGACACCATAGGGTGCAGGGTTTAGCTTCAAGGGCGCAGGCCGCTGAGGGATCAGGGGCTTTGCGGTTTGGGCCTTAGGCCTTCCCCAAACCCTAAACCCTACACCCTAAACCCTAAACCCTAAACCCCTAAACTCCTCCGAGCTGCATGAGGTCGAAGTCCGGGGCAGAGCCTGCGATCGCGATGCCTCCCGGGCGTGTCTCTGAAACATACAGAGTTTTTTAGGGTTTAGGGTTTAGGGTTTAGGGTTTAGGGTTTAGGGTTTAGGGTTTAGGGTTTAGGGTTTAGGGTTTAGGGTTTAGAGTTTAGGGTTTAGGGTTTCGGGGCTTTGGGTCCTCGACCTCGACCTCCTTAGCTTGGTAACAGGGTACTTGGAGGCTCAAGGGCACTTCTGGGTAGGTTTGCAAGTACCGTAAATAATGTTATAACCATAGTTTCCCTACCTATAATGACGTTATAACCATAGTTACCCTACCTATAACCCTACTTTAAGTACCCATGAACCTCCAAGTGCCCTGTTTGGGCTTTTGAATAAGGGAACCTGGAGACCCAGAACAAAAAAAAAGAAAGGTGGCCAACATCGTACCACTGGGCTGCCAAGTTAAAGCTTCGTGGGCAGTTGGAAGTACTGGGTTGGCCCTTTCAACCCTCGGCAAAAAAACTCAGTATGCTTGAAGAAATCTTCCAAGGGTCTATCTAGAGTAGGGTTGAAGTACCCTCATTAAATTTCGAAGCTGTTATAATACATGCTCGATTGTTTACATCTCCGCTTAATGTGCTACTCCTGAAACTTACAAAGTTGGAAGCTTCCCATGGCATGGGTGTTGAGATCGTCTGCGATTTGCGTCAGAACCACCAGGAGACCTCCAGTCCCTTGGCAAAGCACCTGCTTCCATCGTTGGATCATACCGACGAATCTAGTGCAACCTCTTGTCGCAAAGATGCATCGACAGATTCCATGACGAAACACTAGTACATCCTATAGTAGTATTCATCGTCATCACGGCGGTCATCATAGTCATCATAGTCATCATAGTCGTAATCATCCTCCTGCTGCTGGCGCTCATCGTAGTCAGAATAGTCGTAATCCTCACTCACGGGACGCTGGCACTGGCAGTTTGAAGCTCGGAGCGCGTCATTGGCGAGGTCCGCCGCACGCCCTGCCTCCCTCAGCGCTTGCTGCGCCAACGTGTGCGCTGTGTCAGCGGCGCGCTGCGCGCATCGCGCCTCCCGAAGAGCCTCGCTTGCTTTCTGCCGAGCTGTCCGCGCAGCTTCATGGGCGCGGCTCGCATCCTGGGAGGCTTTACAGGCCAGCTGCTCTGCACGGATTCCTATCGCTTGAGCTGGTAAAGCCGGGAAGTCGTAGAGGACAGAAGGGTTGGGCAGCCGGGTTAGCGGCAGCCAGCTCAAAACAGAGCATGCAAAACGCGTTTCATGTTGCCCCTGCCCTGCACAAGAGCACCATCTTGCCAACAAACATACCGCCCGCTCGCAGTTGGTATCGCTCTCGCGTCCCCAGACACCAAGCCACCAAAACTGAGGCATATCCTCCACCAGCAGATCGTCCGAATAGCGTTCCAACTGAGCTAGAAGGGCCTGTGCCACCACATGAGCCACATGCCTGCTGGTCGAGTCATCATCATTATCAAGAATACCCAAGTCCTCCAGCCATTCCAGCGGCAAATGCTCAGCTGCACTGTCGCGCAGGACATTGCAGGCAGCAAACATGCACATCAAGTGCCTGCCGACTCGGACAGCATGCTCACTGTCCCTTCTCTCTGTCAAAACAAGATGAAGAACAGAGTGGAGGTGCTGGGAGGTTGCAACGCCCAAGCACTTGTGAGCTCCTGCCCACAGTAACAGCTGCCACATTTGACGGAAATCCTTCTGTATGCACGACAGCAGATGGGGGGCATCCTTGACCGAGTCCAGCATCACCTCCTCCAGAATTTGTGCTCGCCGATCAGAGTCTAAATCTTGAAGGCTTGTCAGTGGAAGTTCTGTTGCACACATGAGCTGGACACCTTCTTCCAAGTTTCTTGCTTGGACAATCAAAAAAACCTCCCGTGCAGTTTCGGGCTGCTGGTGTCGCAGGCACAGTGGTGTCAGCATCACGGCATCCTCCAAGCTCAGAAAATCCAACCGCACAAAAGGAAGCAATCGCCGAAAGGAGCATCTTGGTATTGCCTCCTGGTGCCGCGAGATCACCTGCCAGGCAAATCCATGACACCCCAAGCTTGCGGGCATGTCGAACAGCCTCCCGCGCCCCGCCCGAGAATGCTTCGGCGGGGCTTGATGAGCTTCTAGCAGACTCACTGCTAGCTCGCCCTGGCAGTCTGACAGTGCAACTTCATTCATGCCCTCTGCCAAGCACGCTGCAGGAATGCCGCTGCGCAAGAGGCGCAGCAAGCTGAGCTTCAGAGGTTCTGGCAAGCTCACCTTCGAAACCATCAGGACCACCAGATCACAGCAGTCCAATGGACTGGCATCGCGAAGAGCGGGGCATTGCATTGCGGCTTCTTCCAGATGCTTGTCGCCCGCGGCCGCCGCGTAGCACAGAAGCAGCATGACATCGGCTATGTCTTGCAGCCATTGCTGCCTTAGCTGGTATCCGAGGCCCGAGTTCTGCGAAGGGAAGGGTTACAAGTATCCTAGTGAAGGTTCCGGCATGTCATGATATCATCAGGAGTGGTTACTGCTACTACTCATAGTGATAGTTCTGCTCTTACTGATGCTATTGCAATTACCCCGTGCAGGGTTCAAGGGCTGCGGGCTTTGGAGGACATGGGCTTTTGGGAAGTTGTAGGGTTTAGGGTTTAGGGTTTAGGGTTTAGGGTTTAGGGTTTAGGGTTTAGGGCTTAGGGCGGCTTAGGGTGCATAAGGTCTTGGAGGTTTTGGGTTTGCTCTCGCTTTAGATTTCCACACAAAATAAACTGCCATGTATAAACACCACGAAGCCAAACCCGCAAGCCTAAACTCTCCCTAAACACTACAGTAAACCCTAAACCCTAAACCCTAAACCCTTTTGGGGTCCCTAATATAATGCGGCACCTAAGATTCAGGGTGTCCAAAAAGGGACCCTAATTTTGACCACTCACCATCTGCAGCCATAACAGACCAACTACACCTTACTTAGGGCACTTGTAGCCCGACTTTTTGCTACCCTAAAGCCTGTAAGTACTGTATCGACCCGTGCACACAAACTGAGGATATTCCAGCCACAGCGCCTGTGCGGATCTGCACGATCATGGCCTCTCATCTCACAGGCCCGCTTGAGAAACTGTGAATCATGCAGCAGCTCGACATGGGCGTATTGGACAGCGTGACGGGCTTGGCTCATCACCTCGAACATCACTTCCGCTGACCTGCAAGCCTCAGCCGGCACGGAGAAGATTGCCTGCCAGTCCTCGCGCACCCGTCTCAGCAACTGCACATCCTCTGGCCGACGAAGTATCACAGAAATGGGCGGGGAATCTTCATGCAAACGCAGAAGCCTTACCGAGAAAGCATCTGGAAGAACGCCGCCATCAAAGCTGAAGGATGCTTGCGCGGCCTGGATGTGGGGGTCGCCTTGCTGCATCTTCACCTTCACCTGGAGGTTTCTTCAGTGGCTTAGGGTTCAAGATTTCCTGCACAGAAGGTTCAGGACCTAGTTTAGAACCGCCCCCCACCTGACCCATGGTCCAGTCATCTCTCACCCCAACTTCTAAAGTCTGGCCACCCACCGTGGACAATCGCAGAGAAACTGCCGGACTCATGCAGTTACAGGGCTGGCGCAGTCGATGCTCCCATTCCTGCAAAGGAGCAAAAGTAGCCTTCCCTCCAGCGGCAAGCTGCATCTTTCCTGGGCAGCCTTGTGTGTCATGGTGGTCGCACTGCTCAGCTGCCGAGCCCCACCCTCGCTCCTTGCGCAGCATCCCACACCTGTCGCACTGCATGTATCGGATGCTGTCACAGTAGCAGCTCTGCCCTACCCGCTGCTCCCACTTTTGCGCTTCCGATTGGGAGGAAAGAAGGGGGACGACTCTCGCAGCAAACACCATCTTGCCGGCGCACCCCTGCCATCGGTGCGGGCAAGTGCCGGTGGCCGCGGAGAACGCGCTCCCCTTCTCAACGAGCCCACAGCGATTGCATGCAGCGAAAGATGCAAACATCTGCGGGCTAAGAACTCAAGCTTCCTTTTCACAGGCTTGGTTCTTGTGCCCGAGCGGCGCGCAATGGCAACGTGGCAGTCACAACAGCTAGTGTAGTGGCCTATGTAGTTAGAATGGGCAATGCGGACATCTACCTGACTACGTCGATATAGAGACTGTAGGCTGATAAAGACTTGGTGCAATTCTTGAGGCTTCTGTCTTGGACAGCTTTAGGCGCAACATGTGGAGCTTCCCCGCCTGTGATGTCCACAGCCTCCGCAAAAGTGATCCTGAGTTTTCTTTAGACGTCGAAGGCTTCAGGCTTACAGTCTTTTAAGGCTCCCTAAACCCCAACCCGAAGCCCAAAGCCCCAACTAAACCTGCCCCTTGGTCTCCGCTCCTCGAGCGTGGGAGTTTTCGCGTCTGGGATGTTTTTAGGGCTCACGCGAGATGATCCGCCTCACACAGCCCTCGAACCACTCGAACCCGACATCCTCAGACCCGAACTAGCCCTAAACCCTAAACCCTAAACCCTAAACCCTAAGGCCTTAATTAAGTCCGAGGCGCCAGTGGTCTAGGCCGGTGCTGGGGACATCCAGGGGCGCGTTGAAGGAGGTCTCAGGTGGCCGCAAGCGCGTCACCCCTCGTCCCTCAACCCTCGACTCCGCCAAGTCTAGGGGACATGTGGGGGTTTGGGGTTTAGGGTTTCGGTTTAGGGTTTGGGGTTTAGGGTTTCGGGCTTAGGGTTTTAGGGTTGCTTTTCGGGTTTAGGGTTTCGGTTTAGGGTTTAGGGTTTCGGGTTTAGGGCTTAGGGTTTAGGGTTTCGGGCTTGGATTTTAGGTTTAGGGGTCAGGGGCTTCCAGCCCCCAGCAGGTATTCTCCATGGTGGTTTCAGGGGATTTGAGGCCATCAGCCTAAACCTTAAGGCGACTCTACGGGCCCCTAAACCCTAAACCCTAAACCCTAAACCCTAAACCCTAAACCCTAAACCCTAAACCCTAAACCCTAAACCGAAGCCCTAATTAGGCCCCAGAGCCTGGAGGTTCATCTCGGTGGCCTCATCTGCCCTTCCCTGAATCCCCTCCCCTGAAGACCTGCCTCACCCGAAGCCCTAAACCCTAAACCCTAAACCCTAAACCCTAAACCTTAAACCCTAAACCCTAAGCCCTAAACCCTAAACCCTACTTGAGGGCTCGGGCCCAGGCTTTCCGCGCATACGGTGCTTCTAAGTTTCACCTTCGGGGTAGCACCCACAGAGTTTGAGGGTTTTAGGGTTAGGGTTGGGGGTTTAGGGTTCTCCCTGAACCCTCAACCCTAAGCCCTAAGCCATAAGCCCTAAGCCCTAAACCCTAAACCCTAAACCCTAAATCCTAAACCCTAAACCCTAAACCCTACCCGTTTTTGAGGGTTTCGGGTTCTGGGGCTCTTGGGGGCGCCCCCTGGACAAAAGAACCCGGAGCTGGGGGGGCGGTCGCAGTTGGTGTCTGCGAAATCCTTGAGGTCGCCAACCGTCTTGAGGTCATACCTGAGGTGCGTAGGGTTTAGGGTTTAGGGTTTAGGGTTTAGGGTTTAGGGTTTAGGGTTTAGGGTTTAGGGTTTAGGGTTTAGGGTTTAGGGTTTAGGGTTCAGGGTTCAGGGTTGAGGGTTGAGGGTTGAGGGTTTAGGGTTTAGGGTTGAGGGTTGAGGGTTTAGGGTTTAGGGTTTAGGGTTTAGCTTAGGCCTTGTGGTTTACACTTTGGGGGGTCTGGAAGGGCCAAACGCCTTTGAAACCCTCAAAGCCCGAATACCTCAATCCTAAACCGCCAAACCCCTCATAGCCTAAAAGGGGTCCCAGAGCCCTAAACCCTAAACCCTAAACCCTAAACCCTAAACCCTAAACCCTAAACCCTAAAAGGGGTCCCAAAAGCCGCACCCTGATCCCGACATCCCGTGCCTTACAAAACTCACTTGTCTCCTTGGGATGAGCTGTGGGGAATGTATACTCAACGGCAAAGAAGCCCTAAACCCAGTAAAGCCCTCACTCAACCCACCCACCCACACACCCACCCACCCACCCAGCAAATCTGAACCCCGACGACCCTAAACCCTGTTTTCCCCCCCCCTCCAAAAAACAGTCCGGCAGTCCTACTTGCCCTATACCCTAAACCCTAAACCCTAAACCCTAAACCCTAAACCCTAAACCCCAAACCCCAAAACCCCAAACCCCAAACCCCAAAACCCCAAAACCCTAAACCCCAAACTATTGGGGAGTCGGCCTGCGACGTGTGCGGCAGCGCACCATGAGGGACCCCAAGTCTGAAGAGCCTTTGGGGCTTTAGGGTTTAGGGTTTAGGGTTTAGGGTTTAGGGTTTAGGGTTTAGGGTTTAGGGTTTAGGATTTCGGGTTTAGGGTTTAGGGCTCAGGGTTTAGGGCTTGGGCAACATTGGTGGGTTTTCCGGGGGATGGGGGGGTCCACGGCTCAGGAGGTTAGAGGTGTAAGGGCTTAGGGGTTTAGTTCTAGGAGTTTGGAGCTTTTCAGGGATCCTGGTTCGAGTGGCTGAGGGTCTGAGGGTGTAGAGAGCTCGAAGGGCTTGAAAGGACTACAATAAAGAAAATCATCAACAGGTCTAAAAATCCGTAGCGAATGAGGGAATTCGGTCCTGATTATATCACCCTATATTACCCATTCAGGGTTTATATAACTTGTGAAACGTACCGAATTCCCTCATTCCCTACTTAGAACCAGTAAGAACACTACGCTTAAACAAGTAGTCGTATGGTGGTTCTATCAAGGTTGTTCGACACAGAGCGGGATCTAACAGGCATATAAGACTATGACATGAGATGAAAACCGAAACCAAAAAGTTGGAGCAAAGAAACAGTAGTAAAAGAGACTCCTCTGGCTGGTCGGCCTAAACACTAAACCCTCTATAAACCCTAACGTATTGCCAAACAACAACAGAAGGGAAGGCTGAAGATCAGGAGTAGAGCTTTCTGCGTCCCCCGGGAGCTTCTCTGAAGGACGTCTGCAACCCGAAACCCCAAACCCTAAACCCCAAACCCTAAACCCCTAAACCCTAAACCCCAAATCCTGCCGACGAGTTGCAGGACTCAGGCGGCTCGTGAGATCGACACCCGCCCGCACCACAGTTGCAACCTAGCGTTCAGGGTTTAGGGTTTAGGGTTTAGGGTTCAGGGTTTCGGGCTTCGGGTTTGGGATTTGGGGTTGAGGGTTTAGGGATTAGGCGCTTTCTCTACTCGGCAGGCACCTGGGTAGCTGTAAAGCGACGCAGTCCTAGGCTCAGGCATGCCTTACCGCAGACTGTCCTAACTCATAACTTTCTTTTCAATGATCGTACACCCCAAACCCTAAACCCTAAACCCCCAAACCCTAAACCCCAAACCCTAAACCCTAAACCCCAAACCCCAAACCCTGCTGCCGAGGGGCAGAGGAACGCGCACGCCGTGTAGCCGCAACCTTGGCTGTGCCCGCACGGGGCCGAATGCGACGTCATGAAGTGCCAAAATGCAGGGTTTTTGTATTTTGGTTGGGTTTTGGGTTTTGGGTTTAGGGTTTAGGGTTCGGGGTTTAGGGTTTAGGGTTTGGGGTTTAGGGTTTGGGGTTTAGGGTTTCGGGTTTAGGGTTTAGGGTTTAGGGTTTAGGGTTTAGGGTTTAGGGTTTAGGGTTTAGGGCTTAGGGTTTAGGAGATCACCCAACACAATGGGTTTGAAGGTTCAGGGGTGTCCTTATGCAAGACTGCGTTGAGGCACATGTCATACCACCCCCCCTTCCGCCTGGCAGCTGCACTTGACAAGTTGAGGGGGGGCTAGCCCTAAACCCTAAACCCCAGACCTCAACACCTTGCACCTGCTGGCAAAGACCGATTAGGGTTCAGGGTTCCGGGTTTTGCTTCAAGATAACCCCCCGCCCATCCCCAGTCGGAGGACTTCGGAGATTTTTGGGGAATTTAGGGATTTTCGGGTTCAGGGCTTCGGGCTTAGGGCTTATGTTTGGTTATGTTTGGGGGTGTGGGGCCTTTAGGGTTTTTTGGGCTCTTCGCTTAGGGTTTTTGGTTGTCAGGGTCAGGGTCTCGGGTTCCATAACCCTAAACCCTAAACCCTAAACCCTAAACCCTAAAACCCTGAACCCTAAACCCTAAACCCTAAACCCCAAACCCAAAGGCAACCCGGCTGCAGATAGTGCCCGGGGTGTCGTCACCACACCGGCCCGTGGAGCTCCTGATGGGACGTGCGGAGGGTTGGGCTCAGGGCTCAGGGTTTAGGGTTCAGGGTTCAGGGTTCCGGGTTCAGGGTTCAGGGTTCAGGGTTCCGGGTTCAGGGTTCAGGGTTCAGGGTTCAGGTTTAGGGTTTAGGGTTGAGGTTTTAGGGTTTAGGGTTTAGGGTTTGGGGTTTAGGGTTTAGGGTTTAAGGTTGGAGGCTTCGGGTTTCAGACTGAAGCCCTTATGCCCCAAATCGCCATAGCCCCGAAGCTCATGACCCTGAATTGACCGTGAAGCCCGGAAGTCGCAAACACTTGGCCCAACTTTGGACCCCAAGCCCTACACTGTAGTGCTTCTACCTACCTATGAACACTCACGCCCCAAACTCTAAAAACTCTAAATCCTTCGATACAAGCCCTGAAAACTGGAACCTCTTGAAGATTGAACCTCTAAACCGCAAGCTAGCATTTTGGTCTGAAGCCAAAGTGTGGGGGGACGCGTGTTTTGAGGTTGGCGGAGTTTATACTACAAGTTTAGGGATTGCAAGAGTTCTGAGTATTCGAGGCTTCTCAGGGTTGTGAGATTCCGCGGTGAGCACTGAGCACTGCAGTTTTGGCACGTATCGGTGCTTGTTGTAATGCGCCCTGCACCCCCTAAACCCAACACCCCAAACCCTAAACCTTAAACCCTAAACAAACCCTAAACCTTAAACCCTAAACCCCAAACCCCACAAGGGCGAAGATATTTCTTTGATGCTGGTCACACTATCCTGCTCTGGGAAGCGAGCGCCTTACACGACGGCTATGTGACTTTTGGTCCGAAAGACTCCAGTACCCTTAAGAATTATGGTTTAGGGTTTAGGGTTTACGGTTTACGGCTTAGGGTTACTTCTCAAAAAATCATAAAAATCCCTATTCTAGTTCAGGGAAAACTCTGAGATCATACGAGAACCCTTATTCTAGTTTTCGATTCTCCTGAATTACCCTAAACCCTAAACCCAACCCTAAACCCTAAACCCTAAACCCTAAACCCTAAACCCTAAACCCTACACCCTAAACCCTAAACCCTAAACCCTAAACCCTAAACCCTAAACCCTAAACCCTAAACCCTAAACCCTAAACCCTAAACCCTAAACCCTAAACCCTAAACCCTAACCCTAAACCCTAAACCCTAAACCCTAAACCCTACACCTGAACCTAAACCCTTTCCCCGCTCTTCCCGGCACGACTCTCTGCGGCTCAGTGGCGGCAGGCAGCACTCAGCGCTCGCCTTCACCCCCGCTTGACGGCCCATGGGTAGGGTTTAGGGTTCAGGGTTTAGGGCTATAGCTTTGGGCTATATGGTTTAGGGTTTAGGGTGTAGGGTTAGGGTTCAGGGTTCAGGGCTTTGGGGCTTAGGGCTTTAGGGTTGAGGGCCATATGCAAGGTACCCTAGAAGCTCTACGCATAATTGTGGCTGCAAGTTCAACCCCGCAAAAAACTCCAAACCCATAAGGCCCATAATGCAGGGGCCTTAGTAATTAGTATAGGGCTTTGGGGGTTATTCTTGTATAAATATATAGGGACCATGAGGGAACACTTTTAGTAATAGTTCCGACCCCCATGTGAGGACATGAGGCCTTTGGGGGAGTGGGCTTGTGTTTTAGGTGTGGGAGGGTGTTCCCATTTCTACTTTAAAGACGCCCGCAGCTAAGAATGTGCGTAAGTGCGTAAAAACACCATGAAGAGCTAGAAGTTTCTGGGCTTCTGTGACCATGACCCTCGGGGGGCCGAATTGTCTCGGCTCCGCGCGTCTTACCTGTCGGGACTGGCCCTGCTGTGTTCACAAAATAGGGCTTGGGCGGAAAGGCACCGGAGGGTGTTGTGGATTCAGGGTTCCCTACAAAACTCTCCTAAACCCTAAACCCTAAACCTTAAACCCTAAACCCTAAACCCCCTTCGCCCCCTCCCACTTGAGGCCGCCTGCGCGGCTTGCGCCAGCAGCGCGGCCATGACTTTTGCCATGGCTTCGGGCTGCTTGGGGGGGATTTAGATTTTGGAGTTCAGGGTCTAGGGTGTAGGGTTTAGGGTTTAGGGTTGTTTAGGGTTTGGGGGGGTTTGGGGTTTAGGGTTCAGGGTTCAGGGTTTGGGGTTTCGGCTTAGGGGTTTAGGGTTTAGGGTGGGGGTTAGGGCGTAGGGTTTAGGATTTAGGGGCTGCGGGTGTTGCAACAGGCCCTGACTCGGGGGCTTGGCGGCCCGGAGGTGTGAGCTTCTGGGGTGTTTAGGGGTTTGGGGGGCTCAAGGGTTCAGGCTTCCTTCAAGCTGGAGGGGAGGGGTGGGGTCCTCATCGTGACATCAAAGTGTCTTCCTTCAGGTTCAGGGTTCATGGCTCAGGACTTGCGGGCTTCAGCTGCTGAAGGGTGCAGGGTCCTAAACCCTAAACCGTGTCCCCTTAACTAGGGGCTGGGGGGGGGAAGGGTGGGGCGTTTTTGGGCTTCCATGCCACATGCAAAGAGAGCTGCAGCAGCCCGCTATGAGGATCAGGAACCTCGTGCCTTCCTTGCAAAACCAAGCAAGGCTCCCCCCGGATACCTCACAAAGGCTTGGGGTTTCGGATGTAGAGTTGAAAGTTTTATTGAAACCCGAAGCCCTAAGCCCTAAGGCCTAAACGTATTGCGGTTGAGGTTGGAGGGCATCCGTGCCCTGGACCCGAACTTCTGTTCCCTAAAGCCCCTGAAGGCTGCCAGTGTCTGACTTAGGGGGCACAGGGTTCTACAGGGTTGCATAACGTTCTATATCGGGCTCAACAGGGCTCAATGGCTCTTTCAAGTTCTGGAGGGTTCTAGAAGGTTCTATAGGGCTCTATAGGGTTCTTTCGGGTTCTAAAAAGAACTAGCGGGGTTCTATACGCTTTTGCCGGGTTACAAAAGTCCAGACCCAAGAGCAGCCTGGGAATCAAAAGGGTTGCCCTGTTGGTTCGAAGGGGCTTAAACGGGTTTTGGGAGTTTAGGGCTTCGAGCTTAGGGCTTGGAGACACAAAGGAAGCAAGTTTTTCTCACAAGGGAAGGTGGCGCTACCTCCCGCCTGCCTTCTTCTGGGCCGCATACTGAGCAAAGCGGCGTAGATACACCGAGCAATCCTGCTCCTTGACGGTAGGCATGGCCCACGTCACGTAGTTGGGGTCGTTCTCGTACGTCTCCAGGTAGGTGCTTTCGTAGTTCTTGCCAAAACCCATGACATCCTCGTCCTCACCCGGGATCTCGATGAGCAAGTACCCCGAGCAGCACTCATGTATGCCCGGCATGCATGACACCGTGCTGCAGCAATTAAGGAACATGCACACGTTGGGATTTACCCACGACTGCAATTACATGCATGAACTCGAAATGCATGAACTTTTCTAAGCCTAAACCCTAATGTCTAAAACCCCAAACGTTTCAAAACCTAAGCCCCAAACTCTTAATCCTAAACCCTAAACCCTAAACCCTAAACCCTAAACCCTAAACCCTAAACCCTAAACCCTAAACCCTAAACCCTAAACCCTAAACCCTAACCCTAAACCCTAAACCCTAAACCCTAAACCCTAAACCCTAAACTGGGGAGTCGGGCCGTGGCAGTGGCCGCGTTCGCAGACTCCAGGAGCTCGGACCTCGGAAGGCTGCGAGCTTGGTTGGGCTTTATGGTTTAGGGTTTAGGGTTTAGGGTTTAGGGTTCAGGGCTAAGGGTTTAGGGTTTAGGGTTTAGGTTTAGGGTTTAGGGTTTAGGGCCTGGGGCTTGGGGTTTAGGGTTTAGGGTTTAGGGTTTAGGGTTTGGGGTTTGGGGTTTAGGGTTTAGGACTTGAGGGTTGGGGTTTAAGGTTTTGGGTGTAGTTGTAGAGCTGCTAAGTAGGGCGTTGGGATGGGCTCAGGGTTTTCAAGGGGTTCAGGGCTAAGGGCATTTTTTTCTGGCCCTGCACGCCAGCGTGCGCACTTTGGCAGCTGCACAGGTTGGGGATCTCTCAGCTGTTTGGCTATAAGGTCGAGGGGCTTATAACGTTTTGACCGAAAGTTTTGAACGAAACGTTATGTTTTTTGGAACTAGTTTTTCATTTTTGGGAAGGGGGGAGGGGTGGGGAGGTGTGGAGGAGGGGAGGAGGGGTGGAGGGGGGGAAGGCAGTGGAAGGGGGTCGGGGGGGCGCCAGCGGATATGCTCGCAATTATCCAAAAAGTCTTGATAGAATTATATTATAGGGCTTGGGTCCCGATAACGCTTGGACCGAAAGTTTTGAACGAAAGTTTTGTTTTTTGGGCCTACGTTTTCATTTTACCTGTTTTGGTCAGTAAGATAATCATGCGAGCAAAAAGACGCCCTAAAGTACCATTGACTTTATATCCTGAGGGCGAAGTTATAGACGAAATAATACATAAACGAACAAATGCATGAAAACGGTGAGTCATTAAGTTAATTCACAAGGTTCTTTACGCTTATACTACTACTACTTTCAACGGGCCCAATATGAAGATTAAAGGCCCGCATTGATTCTCTTCTTAATTCTTTTCATAATGGAAATACTGGTTTAGGGTTTAGGGTTAAAGGCAAAAGTTTCGGGCTTTATAGGGATTAGGGCCACCAGGCCTGTAGTGCTAACAAGACACGCAAGCCACCGCGCCCAGTTGCAGTGCCACTGGCTTGCGATGTCCGCGAAGCTTTTGGCGGCCGCCACCGAGGTCTTAGTCTTCTGATACTTGCTCATAACCCGGCCTCCGTGAGCAGGCCTTGAGCTTCGTGGTGGAGCTGCGCGGCCAACTCGGACTGCCGCTCGGGGAGTGGTAGGCAAACCATCCCCAACGAAGGGAGTGGAAGCCACCGCGGCCCCAAAAGCGTGCTGCGTGCGAGTTGATGGCCTCACAGTAGGAAGATCGCAAGTGACGCCATAGCTTTCGGACAGAATCTCCCGCCATTTTGTTGAACATCTGAGGCTCCAGCCCAGGCATCGCTGCCATAGGCGACTGCAGCCGATCAGGCCAGAACCATCTAAATAGCTCGGAGATTCAATGTGAGTTTCTTATCGGGTTTGAGGAGCTGGGCAAATTTTGCAAGCGTAAACTTTGAAGGAGCACCTCAGCATCGGCATCGCCGCTGATGTCAAAATGCAGCGGTTCCTGCGGAGCAGCGACCAGGCATTGTCAGCAAGAAACCCTGAAGCTTCAGTCTAATAATAATGCTGTGAACCAGGGATAGCAACGGCATTCAAGCAGTTCCGAGCCACTCCAAGCACAACTGCCCTACCAGCTGCCCTTCCAGCACAATTGGGACTTTGTTGCCAACAGCTGGATATTGTTGAAGCTGAACACGCTAAATCGAACTTTGCGAATTTGTTTCTTATTTTTACTGTCTTTTTACATTTTCCTTATTGTACTTTTGTATAATAACAAACAAAGCTACTTAAGCATCAACCCGTAAGTTTAGTACTGCTCTCAAACGTGCACAGAAACGATATGATAATAGCACAAAGAAAGCATTCCATCAAAACAAAAATACGAAGATCTGGATTTTGGATATTAGGGAATGTTCACTGGTATTCTTGCTTTGTTATCGAACAGTTTACTCACTTGTTATCCTACCTTTTCGTTCATATGTCAAGGCAAAACAGAGTCGAGCAGATGGTCGATGCGCATCAAACATCTTACTGAGTGATAAAGAATGACAAACGTTCAATTTCAAAAAAAAACCTACCCGCTCGCATCACGGCATGGCGTAGATATCTCATAGAATGTCTAGATTCGGAAGAACAGGCACAAAATGAGTTTGTGGGCAGCATTTAAAAATCGGAGATAATGCATGTTACCATTTTCATGAATTATTCCGTAAAGAGAACCGTGGTCACAGTGAAATACGGAACAAATTGGTTGAATTAAAGTTGACAGATCCACAGAAATTGATAGAAATTTCTGAAGAATGCCAAACGTTATTTTAAAGCTATAAAGCCGGAGTTGGTGAACCTATTCGCTGCTTTATAAGGACTGTTCAAGTTATATCACCTTTGGATTCAACAAATATGAGAACTAAAAATGGATCCAATTATATGGTGAAGATAACAAGGTTGCAACATATTGGAAAGCTATCAGTGATTCTGTGAAAAGCATAGGTGTACATATAATTTACCCATATGTTATGTATCTCGATGTTGTACTGACTCATTATGTTTTATTCTCATCATCAAAAAATGATTTTTATGTTTGTTGTAAGCATGGTATCCAATAATTCGAATACATAGTGTGAATTATCAACAACTGCTATAATGCAAAAGAGACAAAGATCCAACGAGCAGAATTACAATCCAAAAAGAAGGAAGAGAGCACGACGTATCAATCACAGACACTGCAGTCTTAACACAGATTGTTGAAATTGGAGTAGAAAGAATGATTACAATGTGTATTTGGAAGGAGATGCTTTGATGATTAAATGTTACGCGGATAAATCTTGCTCAACGCTTTTTCAGTGGAGATGGGAGACTAGATTGATGAGTTTTGATTTCATTTTGTAGTAACAATTAGCGAATTCAAACTTGCAAATTAGAAATCTTTGCGAACGGAAAATATTATATCACCATCATGCGATACCAATTTAACTTATCCTTCTATCGACATGGTATCCGGTGATCGAGCATCATCGCGCAGCGAAACATGGTTGGAGTGATAATACATTGATGACCGTATTACTTATCTTTATCCCTGCTAATCAGCCAATCAACAATGCTAATACTCGTGGAGTTGGGGGGGGGCATAAGTAAGACCCTAACTACACCCTAAACCCTAAACCCTTCAGGAGTGGTTTAAGCCTGCGGCAGCTCGACTCGCGCCTCCTCCTCCGCCTCCTCCACACGCTGCCCACGCATGCCGAGACTCTACTATCGGGGCCTCAGGGTTTTGGGGGCTATTGTGGTATAATTACAAAGGGACGATAAGGGAACACTGTCTAGTAGTTCTTTCGACCCCTATTTATATTGGGGCGGGGCTCTACCATCATTTGCA